TGCCATTGCTTCCTGGACGGTTGGTTTTCTTGATACCATTGTCGAAACCAACGCAAAGCGCATGGCCCGCAGTTGGGATCGAACCCGGCATCCCGGCATTACGAAGCGTTCGCATCGACTTAGCCACAGAGCCGACTGATACAGGGAGGACACACCAAAAAAAAATGGGAAGGGGAATGGAGGGGGGGGGGGGTCAGATGTATATATACCACATACACAGATACCCAGAGCCAAAAGTGTGTGTGTGTGCGCCCACGCGTGTGCGTGGTTATTAGAGCGATGGGTCGGAGAAGACTAAAATAATAATAATAATAATAATTAGAAGAATAGATACAAAAAGACAGAGAGAAACAAAGTCACACAATGATAGTGTGTGGGAGAAAGAAAAAAAATAGAGAGAGAGAGAGAGAGAGAGAGAGAGAGAGAGAGAGAGAGAGAGAGAGAGAGAGGGGGGGGGAATGAAACAGACAGAGGGATTCGATCCGCTTGTTGAATAGTCCTAATATATAATATAGACAAAACGACACTTCATTTGTAATGTGGTTAACACCAAGCCTACGGGCTTTATTTCATGTACCCATTTAGGTGGATGGACCTCAAAACCGTGGTGTTTTTGGTGGCAGGGACAGACCATGGTCTTTTCTTCCACACACAAAAAAAGGCAAATATAATCCAGTCTAAGAAAACCAAAACGCCTTCATTCAAGAATCAGTTACCCCTTCTTCCTCTTCTTTTTCTTCTTCTTTTTCAGCATTCGGAGCCCTTGAGGTTCATTACTGCAAAGACATCATCAATGTCATACGAAAGATTTAACACTATGAGACTTTTATTTTCATAGCAAATGATTTTTTCCTGAATAGACTGCATACCCTGGGTGTACATATTGGAGCCGCGAGACAGGAAAACCATGCGGGAGCCACCCGTCCTTACATCAACCAGAATAGAATGGGAGTTAGCCTAAAAACACTTGGAGACATAATCAGGAGAGGCTCGGAGCACTTATGGTCATATCGGATGTGCGATGATGATGACCTCTAAAATGAATAGTGCTGCAGATATCACCCGCCTCCATTCATATCTCTGGTTAGCCATCTTTTTTTCCAATTGGTGACACCAAGTGTTTGCAGGGCTGTCTGGGCATTATCTCTCTATGATCTTCTTGGTCTGCCTCGTGGTCTACGACCATTCATCTCCCTTGTATATACACTTTTTACCTCTTTGTCATCTGACATTCTCTCAATATTCCCCAGCCATTTCAGTATATAAGCTCTCCTTAGAAGTAAAAAAAAGGATCCCTTGAGAGTTTTAAAAAAAATGATCCATAAAAAGGACCCCTTGAAAGTCAAACAGGACCCATCGAAAGTAAAAAAAAGACCCATTGAGGGTCAGAGGTTCCCTGAGGCTCTCCACAACCCACCCACCCCGGTGACCCTTTAGTTGGCCCCGGAACCAGCATTTCTACCTTCGTCAGCGGTCACAGCCTTCACCTTGCGCCACCAAGGTCAAGGTGACCATTACCGGTTGTGTATTTCGTCTGCAGTTTTGACTTTTGGCTTCCCGGACTCGAGACACTCACCGCCGGCCCACAGGTAAATTAACAGTTATTTCTCTCTTTAACACTTCATTTAGTGACACTTGTGTTCAATATTTCACGTAGAATGTTTTATAATGTTTTGATGGGTGTTTTTATGGAGATTCATTGACATCGTTGGTCTGTAGTTTGTCTCGTCTCATCTGCTTCCATTGACGGTTTTCGTTCTGCTTCCCGGACTCCAGACACTGACAGTCACAGCCGGTCGACGGGTAAATTAGACAGTTATTTCTCTCTTTAACTTTAACACCATATTTAGTGACTCTTGTGTTCAGTATTTCACGTAGAATGTTTTGATGTGTGGTTTTAAGAGATTCATTGATAGCAATGTAGTTTGTCTCATCTTGATCTTCTTCATTAACGGTTTTCTTTCTGCTTCCCGAACTTCAGACACTCATAGCCTTTCGACGGGTAAATTTGTCAATTATTTCGGCTCTCCTGTAAACCACGGCCGGTAGACAACAATAGACGGCCGGTTAGTCGGAGTTCTGTCCCCTTACTGCAGTGCAATTACGGACTGGAAAGGAGGGAACGAAACAAATGACATAATTACTGCGTGTTGGCGATAGACAGCGTGCGCTGCCCTGCTATACTCATACGGTTACGGTCTGGGTTAGGGGTAGGGTGTGGGTTAGGTTTAGAGTTAGGGTGTGGGTTAGGGTTAGTGTCGCCGCATCTCGTTTTCGCACAAACTCATAGTAGAAACGCAAACCCTAACCCTAAACCTTTGTTCATCTTTTTGCAGGTTTCGGATACACCATTTATTCTTCTCTTTCTTGGTCTTTCCCTTGCCTTCCTCCCAGATGTTCTGTTGTAGAAAGTCTCATATTCCCTTGCCTTCCTCCCAGATGTTCTGTTGTAGAAAGTATCATATGCCCTTGCCTTCCTCCCAGATGTTCTGCTGTAGAAAGTATCATATGCCCTTGCCTTCCTCCCAGATGTTCTGTTGTAGAAAGTATCATATGCCCTCGCCTTCCTCCCAGATGTTCTGCTGTAGAAAGTATCATATGCCCTTGCCTTCCTCCCAGATGTTCTGTTGTAGAAAGTATCATATGCCCTCGCCTTCCTCCCAGATGTTCTGCTGTAGAAAGTCTCATATGCCCTTGCCTTCCTCCCAGATGTTCTGTTGTAGAAAGTCTCATATGCCCTTGCCTTCCTCCCAGATGTTCTGTTGTAGAAAGTCTCATATGCCCTTGCCTTCCTCCCAGATGTTCTGTTGTAGAAAGTCTCATATGCCCTTGCCCTCCTCCCAGATGTTCTGTTCTAGAAAGTATCATATGCCCTCACCTTCCTCCCAGATGTTCTGTTGTAGAAAGTCCTATATGCCCTCACCTTCCTCCCAGATGTTCTGTTGTAGAAAGTCTCATATGCCCTTGCCTTCCTCCCAGATGTTCTGCTGTAGAAAGTATCATATGCCCTTGCCTTCCTCCCAGATGTTCTGCTGTAAAAAAGTATCATATGGAGCTTCGTCTGGCTGCATTCTCACTAAAAGGCCACACCATTTCATTCTTTGAGTGCCTATTTAATTCAGACACTGTCTTATTCCATCGACCTTTCTCTCTAATGCTGGTGTTCAAAACGCTGTCCCTTCTAGTGTTGCTAGTGACCTTACAGAGACAGCTCATTTCACATGTAGTTACTTTCTGTTCTAGTGCCTTATTCATTGTCCATGTTTGTCACAGACAGCATACAGTTGAGAAAAAGATTATATTAATCATTTACTGTTGTTCTGGGGAAGGGAGACATTTAGATGTCTGATCAGTGGGGCTAACTGGTAGGTGACAGCATTTGGCTTCTGTACTGTGCCTTTTTTCTTTCTATCAGATCTGCCGTCTTCTGTAAAAAGCTTGCTAGGCATTAAAATCCTTGAACTTGTTTGATCCTGCCTGCAGATCGGAAGGTCATGAGTTCGCATCCTGACGGAGCCGGACTGTTTTTCATGACCTTGACTCCCAGGTCGACCCAGCCTGAGTGGGTTGCAGGTGCAGTCCTATACGCGTGGAAAAGAGAGTTTTACTTCACTTTTACTTGTTTGATTGTAGTACAAAGAGACAACTTATTTAAAGCATATTTATTCCAACTCTGTGATACCAGTGCCAGACATGGTCACTCACAACAAACCATAAAATAAAATTAGTAACCATGGAAATGAGATGTTTGAGAAGAGCTGTAGGAGTGACCATAAGAGATAAGATCAGGAATGAGATCATAAGAGAAAAAGTCGGCACAGAACCAATTCTAAATTACATACGCAGACAGCAAGTGAAATGGTTTGCCCACTTAGAGAGAATGCCTTGTGACACCATACCATACAAAGCATACATGGAAAGAGAAGAAGGAAGTAGAGCACGAGGTAGACCAAGAACAACATGGAAGGATAACATCAGAGAAACTCTACAACAGCACAATGTGCCTATAGTCGATGCGGCCAGAAGAGCTAGAGACAGAACCTTATTTCTCCCTCGACACCCACAGCGGTAAAAGAGGAAGTGAAGAAGAAGAAGAAGATTGTAGTACAGCATAGAAGGCTTCATAATATAGTAGTATTATAAAGTGATCATTGGTATCAATGTAATGACGGTGTGCTTCCACCAGTCAGTAGTTGTCATTTAGTTTTCACTTTTGACTTTTCGGCTCTTAGACTCCAGACACTAACTTCTGGAAGATAAGTAATTATTTCACAATTCATGTAAGTTATTACTGATATAGTGGTGTTTGTGTTTGTTATTTCACTTGTTTTGCTTCATGTCATGGCTTGTTCTGAGGAGAAACGGGAATTCATTCTCCTAAAAGGCTTCCAGCAACAGGTTTCTTGTTCAGATGTCTTGCTTCTTCTTCTTTTGTTCAAAAAGTTGTCTATATCAGCAATTTTGTCTCTTGAATAAATTTCACTGTGGTATTTAGTTCATTCAGTGGTCCATAGAGTTTACGTTTCACTGTTGTTCCCTCCAGCCAAAAGGTTTGCTTAATGTGTCAAATTTGGTGCAGTCCTGGAGTACATGCTCTATCTTGCTTCATGTTGGGATATTTACGAGGAGAAACAGGGATTTGTTCACCAGTCTTCCACCAACAGGTTTCTTTTGTTGATGTCTTATACTCCAGACGCAAATTGCTGGGTTATTTCTTTGTTTAACTTCACATTTAGTGACATTTATATTCTGTATTTCACTTAAAATGCTTCCTAATATTTCTATTTGTTATTAATTGATTCTTACTTAAATGTCTGCCACCATTTGTTGTTATTTTATTGCTATTTCCATTTTGCCACAATTTGTTATTCTTTTTATTTATATGTCTACTATCACTTATTTTTAATGCCTCAAAGAATTATTTTAAAATGATTTTTATCATGACTTTTCAGATACTAATAATCAGACAAGACAGTTGACCAGTGAGATCAAAGATCACGATGACCAGGCCCAGAGTTTACGTGACCAGAGATGTTCACCAGGAGGCCATCGACCTTCTGAAAGAGTCGCTGGATGTGGAAATTTGGGCAAGCGATGAGGTGGTTCCCCGAGATGAACTGCTGAAGAAGGTCAAAGGAGTGGATGCCATCTTCTGCACCATCAGTGATAAAATCAACAAGGAGGTGCTGGATGCTGCAGGTACAGTTGTGATGGCTTTCACTTGCCTCCGGGATTTTCTTCTTGTGTCTCCTCACTGATACCAGGTTGTAGCCTAGTGTCATGCTTTTCTGAATTTGTCTTGCGCTTCTCAGGTAGCTTGGGTGATTAGTTCATCTTTTTTGCAGGTTTCGGCTACACCATTTATCCATGTCTTTCTTGGTCTTCCTCTTGCCTTCCTCCCAGATGTTTTGTTTTAAAACGTCTCATATGCAGTTTGGTCTGGATGCATTCTCACTAGATGGCTGAACCATTTCATTCTCTGTTTGTCAATACAATCCAGACATGGTCTTATTCAGACTTTCTCTCTAACGCTGGTATTCTTAACCCTGTCCCTTCTTGTGCTGTTAGGGGCCTTGCGAAGACGGCACATTTCACATGTACATGATGCATTTTTTAAGTAAGTCCAGGTATAAAATGTAAAATAAACTATCATATAGAAAAATTTATTTTGGCTTCAAGCTGAAAATGGGTGTCCGGAAATGACATGGGAAGTGAAGTAAAGGTCGCTGGTCTGATGTTTACCACATAATGCACAAATGTCTGTACATACATTGAAAGTATATCTATTACCGTATCCCCAATGCACCGGTGGTGTTGAAAAGTTAATTTTCTTCACTTTTTACCTGCTAGCTGAAAAAGACATTCAACTCTTTTGAGTCCCAAGGGACGCATCATACGTTCATGGTTCTTACATAGAAGCCCAATTAATGCATCGATTTTATGTTCTTCTCTACTACCCCTTGGGCCTGTGAAGCTAAACCCACTGGGAGTCAAGAAGGTACCGAAACATGGCATGAGCTCAGTTGATTGATCAGTATAGTCCCTCTGGGATGCTACCTAAAGTGTTACCGTATTTGAATCTCAGTCTATATGGCAGACTACCAAGACAGATCCCAGATACCTGGTTCAACCTCCAAAAAGTGGCAAGTCATGTCTGTCCACAACCTTCTGTCTCGTGTACTTTTAATCAACTCTGACACAGATGATCCTCCATGCCATGATGTCAAACTGGCCAGCATCTGTTCTCTCGGTCTCCCTCTGCCTCTCCCCCCCTCCAAAGGAGGTATGGCTTGAGAAGGGGCTTGATCTAGGTTTGTTAAGGGTTTATGTCTTTGGAGAGAAGGCTGTATCCTGGAGTGAAGCCAGTCTTATAATAAGCTTCAAAAGGGGCTTGATCTAGGTTTGTTAAGGGCTTATGTCCTTGGAGAGAAGGCTGTATCCTGGAGTGAAGCCAGTCTTATAATAAGCTTCAAAAGGGGCTTGATCTAGGTTTGTTAAGGGCTTATGTCCTTGGAGAGAAGGCTGTATCCTGGAGTGAAGCCAGTCTTATAATAAGCTTCAAAAGGGGCTTCATCTAGGTTTGTTAAGGGCTTATGTCCTTGGAGAAAAGGCTGTATCCTGGAGTGAAGCCAGTTTTATAATAAGCTTCAAAAAGGGGCTTCATCTAGGCTGGTAAAGGGCTTATGTCTTTTGAGAAAAGGCTGTATCCTGGAATGAAGCCAGTCTTATAATAAGCTTCATAAGGGGCTTGATCTAGACTGGTTGAGGGCTTATGTCTTTTGAGAAAAGGCTGTATCCTGGAGTGAAGCCAGTCTTATAAAAGGCTGTATCCTGGAATGAAGCCAGTCTTATAATAAGCTTCAAAAGGGGCTTGATTTAGACTGGTTGAGGGCTTATGTCTTTGGAGAAAAGGCTGTATCCTGGAGTGAAGCCAGTTTTATAATAAGCTTCAAAGATGCTTCATCTAGGCTGGTTGATTGCTTATGTCCTTGGAGAGAAGGCTGTATCCTGGAGTGAAGCCAGTTTTATAATAAGCTTCAAAAAGGGGCTTCATCTAGGCTGGTAAAGGGCTTATGTCTTTGGAAAGAAGGCTGTAGCAGGTCTGATAATATAATTGCCGGAGAAGGAACACCGACACAAATAAAACATTTTGGAAGTGTAATATACTCAAAATATATGTATAAACAAAAACTTAATTTTAAAAAAAATCACATTTGTACATGGTTGGGGACTCTCACCTGTGGGTCCGAAGGTTGTGGGTTCATGTCCTGATGGAGCTTGACTTTTTTTCAAAACTGAATTTGCCTCCCAGGTCGACACCCAGCCTTAAATGTGTACCAGGTAAAGTCCTGGGAAGTAAAGTTGGCTAGCATGACCACATCACTTGCCGAGTGCTTATAAAATATGGCCCTATTTTCCAGTGGAAAAGGGTCTTTAAAGGCGTGGGAAAGGGTCTTTACATACTTGCATGGTTCGGGAAAGGAAGGGTTACTGTATTTGAAGTAATATCAGGTCTGGCTTATGTATATGCAGACTGTTGGTTCTTAATCTTTCAGGTAGTCACACTCTAATGTCAAAGTTAATGCCAGTCCTCTGTCTACATTGTCCAGGCTCCCAGTTGAAGGAGGATGTTTGCGGAGAGGGGGAGGCAGGTGTTTATGAAGAAGAGCCTATGAGTTATGAGTTAGATTATCTTCACAGTACTCGTGTCACATCCATAGGCGCTCAGATTCCCCTCTCAACATATTCATCAGCGTCATGCGGTTAATAGTTCCAGTCCTATGTTGGTTAACAGACTTCGTTAACAAGACTCAGGCTTGGCTGTGCTGATCTTTACTCCCAATTCTTGAATTCTTAGCAGTGATGTGGGCACGTTGCTTCCAAAATCCTCAGAACGTCCTATCTCTATAAGGGCAAGAAAAATGTGTGCGTGATCTGTGGGCCGGCCATCTTCAATTAATGCAGCACCTGCCAGTCTCTCAGCTCTTTCATTACCAACAACACCTGCATACCCTAAGACAAATATGAAGGTAACTGCACTCACAGGAGAGTTTTGCAACGACTCAAACCACTGTCTGCATAACCAGCCTGCCTCGACCCGCCGGATCATGCTCAAAGAATCACTCAGCAACACATGCGGGAATAGTTCTGTGATCCCAGCCACATGAAAGCCTATGTCAGCGCCATCACCTTTATCGTCGTGCTGCTGGTAGTCATGGAGAAGGCATCGCTGGCTTTTGAACAGTTCTGCCTGAAATGGGAGCTGTAAATACCCATGCACTCCTTTGTCCTCGTATAACGGACCCGTCTGTGAAGGTCACTACAGAAGAGCCTGTGTCCTGGTGCAGCACCAAGCACCTCTGCGTCCGAACTAATTAAGAACTTCTAAACTGGTCTGTTTATTTATCTCGTACAACAGGTCCGCAGTTAAAAATTGTGGCCACCATGTCTGTGGGCATTCACCATATCAGCACGCAGGAGTGCAAGCAGCGGGGCATCTACGTGGCCAACACGCCAGATGTGGCTTCCGACAGCGCTGCCGAGTTTACTGTCACCTTGCTGCTGATGGTGGCCAGGCGATGCCTAGAAGGTTTGTATTGCCATTTAAGCATTTGTATTATATATCGCTCAATGGTAAGGTGAGATGGGTATACAGTTGGTTGAACTGTTACTGGTACCATCTAAATAGTAACTCTGTGCTTGCTGCTGATGGTGGGGATGGAGTGCTTATGGGTGTGTCCTTAGTGCTGTGATGTTAATTCTTAATGAAATATTAAACACCAAATAACGATACAGGTTTTCAAAAACAGAGTCTTACGACATATTTTTGGGCCCATCAAAGGTGTAAACAGTGGTGAATAGAGAGTGAGAAGCAACAACGAAATTCATAATCTGTTTAAATCACCACTGATCACTGGCATCATGTGAGCTAATAGACTGAAATGGTTGGGTCATATTGAAAGAATGTCAGATGACAGAGAAGTAAAAACTGCATACACGAGGGAGATGAATGGTCGTAGACCACGAGGGAGATCAAGAAAACGATGGAGAGATAATGTCCAGACAGACCTGCAAACACATGGTGCCACCAACTGGAAAGAGAAGGCCAACAAGAGAGATGAATGGAGGCGGGTGATATCTGCAGCAATGAACCTCAAGGGCTCGCACTGCTGAAGAAGAAGAAGAAATAATGATGTGTTGTAATGTTTGAGTTTCTTCTCCTCCTCTTCCTCTTCTTCTTCTTATTATTATTCTTTTTCTTCTTTTTCATCATCTTCTTCTTCTTCTTGCTCTTTTTCCTTTTCTTCTTCTCTTCTACTCCCAGTTGCCTCATCAGAGTGTTGGGGAGAAGTAAAGATCTTCTGTACTCTCTGTCGAATGCTTTGTCTAAGTTGATCTTCATCTCTGTAAGACTGTTCTTGATGCCTTCATTACATATTTTTTATCACATCCCTTGTCTGATTTAAGATTCTGTCTGCTTATTACCCTATTCTCACCCATCTCTTTCTATTCTTCTTCTTCTTTTTCTATTTCTCTTGCTTCTTTTATCTTTCCTTTTAATGGCATATAGTCCAGTTGTAACTAACATCTTGTTTATTTATTTCTCTTCTTCCTTCTGTAGTGCTTTATGGCCCACTTGTAACTAACATATCCTTTGTTTCTTTCTCTTCTTACTTCTGTAGTGCTATATAGTCCAGTTGTAACTGACATCTTGTTTGTTTCTCTCTCTTCTTTCTCCTGTAGTGCTATATAGTCCAGTTGTAACTGACATCTTGTTTGTTTCTCTCTCTTCTTCCTTCTATAGTGCTTTATAGCCCACTTGTAACTAACATCTCCTGTGTTTCTTTCTCTTCTTACTCCTGTAGTGCTATATAGTCCAGTTGTAACTGACATCTTGTTTGTTTCTCTCTCTTCTTTCTCCTGTAGTGCTATATAGTCCAGTTGTAACTGACATCTTGTTTGTTTCTCTCTCTTCTTTCTCCTGTAGTGCTAATAGTCCAGTTGTAACTGACATCTTGTTTGTTTCTCTCTCTTCTTTCTCCTGTAGTGCTATATAGTCCAGTTGTAACTGACATCTTGTTTGTTTCTCTCTCTTCTTCCTTCTATAGTGCTATATAGTCCAGTTGTAACTGACATCTTGTTTGTTTCTCTCTCTTCTTCCTTCTATAGTGCTATATAGTCCAGTTGTAACTGACATCTTGTTTGTTTCTCTCTCTTCTTCCTTCTATAGTGCTATATAGTCCAGTTGTAACTGACATCTTGTTTGTTTCTCTCTCTTCTTCCTTCTATAGTGCTATATAGTCCAGTTGTAACTGACATCTTGTTTGTTTCTCTCTCTTCTTCCTTCTATAGTGCTATATAGTCCAGTTGTAACTGACATCTTGTTTGTTTCTCTCTCTTCTTCCTTCTATAGTGCTATATAGTCCAGTTGTAACTGACATCTTGTTTGTTTCTCTCTCTTCTTTCTCCTGTAGTGCTATATAGTCCAGTTGTAACTGACATCTTGTTTGTTTCTCTCTCTTCTTCCTTCTATAGTGCTATATAGTCCAGTTGTAACTGACATCTTGTTTGTTTCTCTCTCTTCTTCCTTCTATAGTGCTATATAGTCCAGTTGTAACTAACATCTCCTGTGTTTCTCTCTCTTCTTACTCCTGTAGTGCTATATAGTCCAGTTGTAACTGACATCTTGTTTGTTTCTCTCTCTTCTTTCTCCTTTACTTGTAGTGCTTTATAGCCCTGTTGTAACAGACATCTCCTTTGTTTGTCTCTCTTCATCAGGAGCAGAAGCTGTGGTGAAAGGTGAGTGGGGTCCATGGAAACCCATGTGGATTCTGGGTACAGAGATTGTTAACCGGACTCTGGGGATCCTAGGATTTGGTCGTGTCGGGTTTGGAGTAGCTCGCCGTCTGAAGCCCTTTGGCATTCAGCGAATCCTGTACCATGATGTGTCCAAGGTCACCCTCGGCGACGACCTCCAGGCTGAGTATGTAGATTTGGAGACGCTGTTCCGAGAGTCTGACTTCTTGATAGTGTCCTGCGCTCTGACCGGAGTGACAAAGAACCTCATCAACAAAGATGTGCTCACCAAAATGAAACCTACAGCCATTTTGGTGAATACTTCTCGGGGGCCGGTTGTCAACACGGAAGATCTTCTGGTGGCTTTGAAATCTGGCCAAATAGCTGGGGCCGGTCTTGACGTAACCGACCCTGAACCGCTTCCAGCCGACCATCCTCTGGTCCACTTAAACAACTGCATCATCACTCCTCATTTAGCCACAAACTCAACAAAGGCTCGGCTGGGAATGGCTGTAAATACGGCTAAAAATATTATTGGCACCCTCGTAAAAAAATAAGCGTGAACCAATGAAATCATTTCCGTGCCGCGATACTCGTGTATCTTAATGATACTTTACGTTTGTATCTGTTATATGTAGCTGTAAAATCAACTTTTTGATGTTATTGCTTTATATTTTTAAAATTCTGACAGCCTTCATGATCTGAATAATGAGGGGGACTAACTCTTAACCCTTTCCCTCTGAGAATACTACTACATAAAATGTGTTGTAAACCTGTAGAGAATTCCTCAGAAAAAATCCTTTTAAAACGTGGGGGAAAAACAGCAGTTTTGCACAGGTCAGTAATACATTAAACAAAATTATTATCTATCTACATTGTAAACATTTTCGTGTGTGGAAATGAAATAAAAAAGTTATATAAAAGGGGTAATCAATAAATATGAACAGATTGAAATATTAAATGGAAAACATTCATTGGGATCTAAAACACAGTATGTGTTTGGTGATTCAGGTCGTGACCAAAATCACGGAGGCTTATAAATTTGACATCAGCTTGGCCATAAAAACAAGGAAACCCCTTGAAATGTTATATTTAGTCAATATATTCACATCCGGGCCTCCCAGACACTACACAGGCGCACAAATAACCAGTGGCATTTAACCGCTTTTCAAGAACAGGTCAGTGCAAAAATGTCCAAATTCAGCATTGAATGTAGTCAGCATATTCACATCTGAACCTAAACACTCTGGAAGGTGCAGAAATGACCAGTGGTATTTAACCAGGCTTTTGCAGAAGTGACCAAATATCAGCATTTACAGGGCTCTATCACAACAGGAAGTGACAAATGTAGCCTTCTCAGGGCTGAAGGGTTAAACATTTTCGTTGCTGGTAAACTAAAAATGTTCTGCCATATAAATGTTGTAATGGTTTGGAGAGTACAGTAATGGAAGGTATGGTTCTTGATGGAAGAGGCAGGGATAAACCAGGTGCAGAAATGACCAGTGGTATTTAACTAGGCTTTTGCAGAAATTACCAGATATCAGCATTCACAGGGTTCTATCACAATAAGAAGTGACAAATTTAGCATTCTCAGGGCTGAAGGGTTAACAATTTTTCGTTGCTGGTAAACTAAAAATGTTCTGCCATATAAATGTTGTAATGGTTTGGAGAGTACAGTAATGGAAGGTTTGGTTCTTGATGGAAGAGGCAGGGATAAACCAGGTGCAGAAATGACCAGTGGTATTTAACTAGGCTTTTGCAGAAATGACCAAATATCAGCATTTACAGGGCTCTATCACAACAGGAAGTGACAAATGTAGCCTTCTCAGGGCTAAAGGGTTAAACATTTTCGCTACTGGTAAACTAAAAATGTTCTGCCGTATAAATGTTGTAATGGTTTGGAGAGTACAGCAATGGAAGGTATGGTTCTTGATGGAAGAGGCAGGGATAAACCAGCATGACGGTGGACAGGACATCCTGTGCATGGAAGTTCACAAGACATTGTTGGGAAACAGGCAGATAGATTGGCTGGTTCTGATTCTGCTTGTTGGTAAATTAAGGCGTGGCCAATGGATCTGACAGACACTCAACAGTCAGGGAAAAGGTAAGATGGATATGGATATACAGTCAGACTGTTACTGGTGCCATTGGAATTGGAACACTGGGCGTGCTGCTGAAGATGGGGACAGGGTGCTTACAGGAATGTCCCGAATGTTATGATAAAGGTTCTTAATCATAACTCATTACTCTTCACAAGACAAGATTTCCCTGTGGGTTCTGGGGTCCCATTGTGGGGGGAAGCAAGAATAGACCCACTCGAGTCGACTAATAGGGGGCTTCCATCAAAGTCGGTATGCATCTGCCTGGAACCAGCAATCTGCATACAAATAAGTCAGATCTGTAAAACGGATGCACATGCAAAACTCAGGTCCTATAAAAAAGCCAAATTCCAGAAATGGATGAACAGCCAGGTCTTTCCGCTGGGGTTTACAGCAGGTGAACACAAACAAACAACACGGGAAAGTTGGCGAGGGTTCAAGTGTATAATGTTTGACAATGTTTATAAAACTGTTATAATATACATTTTAGATTGTAAGTGTGAAACATTTTAGGTTACTTTATAAAATAAACATTTTATGAAACTATAAAAAAATGTACATTTTAAATTAAATATACATTGTGATCACTTAAAATGTATATTTTAGATGGCTATAAAATAATTATTTTTAGTTCACTTAAAATGTATATTTGAGATAAATATACATTTTAGCTCACTTAAATGTAAATTATAGTTAAATATACATTTTAGATCACTTAAATGTATATTATAGTTAAATATACATTTTAGATCACTGTAATATACATTTTAGATCACTGTAATATACAATATAGATCACTAATATACATTTTAGATCACTGTAATATACATTTTAGATCACTGTAATATACAATATAGATCACTAATATACATTTTAGATCACTTTAATATACAATATAGATCACTAATATACATTTTAGATCACTGTAATATACATTTTAGATCACTGTAATATACAATATAGATCACTAATATACATTTTAGATCACTGTAATATACAATATAGATCACTAATATACATTTTAGATCACTGTAATATACATTTTAGATCACTGTAATATACAATATAGATCACTAATATACATTTTAGATCACTAATATACATTTTAGATCACTGTAATATACATTTTAGATCACTGTAATATACAATATAGATCACTAATATACATTTTAGATCACTGTAATATACAATATAGATCACTAATATACATTTTAGATCACTGTAATATACATTTTAGATCACTGTAATATACAATATAGATCACTAATATACATTTTAGATCACTGTAATATACATTTTAGATCACTAATATACATTTTAGATCACTGTAATATACATTTTAGATCACTAATATACATTTTAGATCACTAATATACATTTTAGATCACTGTAATATACAATATAGATCACTAATATACATTTTAGATCACTGTAATATACAATATAGATCACTGTAATATACATTTTAGATCACTTTAATATACAATATAGATCACTAATATACATTTTAGATCACTGTAATATACAATATAGATCACTAATATACATTTTAGATCACTTTAATATACAATATAGATCACTAATATACATTTTAGATCACTGTAATATACAATATAGATCACTAATATACATTTTAGATCACTGTAATATACAATATAGATCACTAATATACATTTTAGATAACTAAAAAAATTTACACTGTAGATCAGTTAAGTGTTTCAAAGATCTTTTAAAAAACACTTTCAAATGTGTGTTTTAGATGACTATAAAAATAGACATTTTAGATATTATAAAAGTATCTTTTTGGTGCTTTCTTTTCTTTGTCAATATATGCTTATGCTGCTTGGCGTCACAGTTCATCAGACGATCGGCAGCCGACCCAGTGCTCGTTTAATTTTAATGGGTAGTAAACGTAATTGCTATACAAAAATATGCATTTTTAGATAACTTAAATATGAATTTAAGATCACTGAATATTTGTGTAATTATTGGCTTGTTTTCCCTGCTTCTGAATTCAGTAGCAACAAGATTGTGTGAAAGACGTGGGATCCCACCAGTAGGGCTTTGATGAAACTATTACAGCAACTAGTAAAGAAAAAGTAAAAAACCTTTTCCCACGCTTTTAGGCGTATTGGGTATATAGGGCTAGACCTATATTTTATAGGCCAAGCGGCACTCAATGGGTGATGTGATCAGCATCACGCCGGCCGTCTTTACTTCCCAGAACTGTACCTGGTACCCACTCGAGGCTGGGAGCCAAACTCATTTTTGAGAAAAGTCCAGTCCCCAGTCAGAACCCGAACCCACTACCTTCTGATCCACAGTCAAGTGTCTAGCCACTAGACCACAGCCACTCCCTTACAGCTACAAGGCTACGTATATATTTCGTATGTGCTATGTCTATACCTGAGATATTTAGTAGAAGAATAACCTTTATTGAAAAGATATTTACTTGTCAAATTGATGTCACGTTTTTTTTTTAATTGTATTCTTGACTTTTTTTTTTTCATTGACCTAGTACGTGTGAAGTGGTATCACCATACGAATGAGATCATTTCAGAAGATTATGTGTATGTCATACTGAGATTACATCATATCGGTGAGGTGTACACTGCCTGAGCATCCCACAGTTACTGGGGTGTACCATCACTGCAAGTGATCCATTGCCTAAGTATTGCACTGTTACTGTGGGTACCATCACTGCAAGTGGTCCATTGCCTAAGTATTGCACTGTTACTGTGGTGTAAGTAAAGAAAAGTAAAGGACCCCTTTCCATGCCTTTAGGCGTATAGGGCATATAGGGCTAGACCTATATTTTATAGATCAATCGGCACAAGATGGGTGATGTGGTCAGCATCACGCCGGCCGCTTTTACTTTCCGGGACTGCACCCGGTACCCACTCAAGGCTGGGTCGACCTGGGACCTAAGGTCATTTCTGAAAATAATCAGGCTCCGCCAGGGAGCGAACCTACGACTTTCTGATCCGTGGCGAGCGTCTAGCCACTCTGCCACGGTGACTCCCTTACTATGGTGTACCATCACCGTAAGTGGTTCACAGCTTCTCCATCCAACTGTACTCCTAGCCATGATATTAATTGATTTTGTGACATTCTCTATAAGTTTTGATGTTTTAGATCTGTTAGTGCTTTTGTTTTACATTTACATTTTTAAAATCTCTTTTGTAAGACTGATTAACGGGAAAAAGCCTGTGGTGTGTTTGTTTTTACAGTAGTAAGAAATAAAAATATATTCTGCATTGTTTTCTGAGTGCATTTGAGTTTCTTTAGACCTTTTCAAATGATTGTATTTACTGTTTTGTTTTTGAGTTTCTTTTCAACTGGTTAAGTGGGTGGAATACAGCGCTCTCAGCTGGGATATCCGGATTTGAATGCTTACGCTTCGTGTGGGTTCCCAGGTCTCCACTTTGGGTATGGGTAATAGCTACCCCACCCCCACC